CCTAGACCCTAAACATCCCTAAACCCTAAACCCTGAACCCTCAACCCCAAACCAAACAGCAGCCGGAGAGAGCAGCAACTGCCAGGGCTCCAACAGACCAAAATAGCCTCGGCAACCGGACTTTGAGGCTTAGGGTTTACAGCTTATGCGATTTAGGTTTTAGGGTTTAGGGTTTAGACGGTTTAGGGTTCAGGGTTTGGGGGATCCGGCTGGAACGAAGACGGCTGTATCCAGGGGGTGAAGCTTTATGGCCTGGGTTTAGGGTTTAGGGGTTGCAGCTTTATGGCCTGGGGTTTAGTCTTTGGGCTTTGGGTTGAGGCTTGAGGCTTTGGAGCTTGCAGGTTTGCTTAAGGGATGAACGCGGTAGGCGGCTTGTGAACAAGGTCGTATAAACGTTCACCACACTTACGAAAGGGGCCTTAAAGAATAACTAGAATAAGCATGTTATAGTAAACGTAATTCTGCTGAGGAACCCTAAGGCCCTAGGGAACATCATGCGTAATTCTGTAAGCTTCTGTCTTAGACCAACTGTCAGCTCAAAGGTCTCGACCTGCTCCTGGGACTCCATGAACCCCACCCAAGAAAGCACATAAGCAAAAATTAGGATAGGGATATCCCATATAAACCCCCTTATAATGAAGCCCAATAAGGTAGGGATATCCCTATAAAATGCTTATGTTTATGCGCCTTTTGGGTCCCTCAAATACCACTTACCACACCCCAGTCTTAAGCGGAACCCGGATCTGAAGTGCTAATCTGCAGTCTCTTAGAAAGCGAAAGACGCTAGGCTGAAACCTTAAAAGTGGAATCCTGGACCCTACTAAAATCCTCAAAGGAACCGGTCATACCAAAATGATCATTAGCTTCTTAGGCTCTCGTGCGTCGTGTACCCTCTACCAAGAAAGCAACCTCAAAAGAGGCACATGACGGTCTACGGTCCTTTGAGAGCTGCCTTTTGGAGGAAACTTACATACAAGTAGAAGTCTACTTGGAAGTTGTCACTGTACCTGCTAAGTTGCTTAATCCGTAGCCCTACAGCCGAAACCCTAAAGTGTAGAAGCCTGCGCCCCGCTCCCCCTCCAGAGGCGTGGCTTGGCTATAGGCTTAGTGTGTTTGGGGTGTTTAAGGCCTGGGGCTGGTGGTTTAAAGTTTAGGGTTTGGGCCCTAGCCCCTACCCGTAAACACCCAAGGAAAACTCCAGTTCCTTCAAGGCTCAAGATCTTGTAGCCTCTGGCCACACCTACAGCCAGCAGCAAAGCCACCCTGCGCAGAAAGCTGTCTCAGGTGCAGGCTCCCGGGTAGGGTTTGAGGCTCAGAATTCTTGTTTTGAAATTTAGGATTCAGGGTTTAGGGCTTAGGGTTTAAATGGCGTTTTTAAGTTTACTTCAGTACTTGTTAAAGGTTAGCGGTTAGGGTCTAGGGTTTATGGTCTAGGATTTAGGGTTTAGGGGTTTAGTGGTTTAGGGGTTTAGGGTGCACCCCATAAAGTAAGTTGGAACATTGATTTAGGATGATTCGTGCTGGGATCCCCTATACGTTACCGTAGGGGCATGAGGATAATGATGTTCCAACTTTCTGGGGGCTTGGGGCTTAGGGCTCAAGGCTCAGGGTTTAAGGTTTTAGAGCTTAGGGCTCAGGATTGAGGGGGTCAAGGTTTTAGGGCTTTGGGCTGAGGGGTTCAGGATTAAAAAGTTTAGGGTTTAGGGCTTGGGGCTCAGGGTTTGGGGTTCAAGGTTTTAGGGTAGGGTTTAGGGGTTTAGGGTTCAGGGGCTTGACATTGTTCTGAAATTGTTGGGTTACAGGTAAGATTGCGATTTCCAGCTGCATCTGTGTGGGCTTTCATCGAGGTAAATGCGGTGTTTGCCTCAAGGGCTCTTGGGTTTAAAGGTTGGGGTCTAAGGTTTTAGGGCTTAGGATTCGGGGTGCTGTGAGGAGGCTCGGGACTATCATCTTCAGTGGCACATGCTGCCCAGCCTACACACTGACGTCATTGCAGAGGCCGGTCTGTGAAAACATATGGAATGCAGGCCTGGCGTAAAAAACTCGAGCCATAAGGCTGCGTAAGGAAGGGGTTCACCGGTTCACCTGCAATCTTGTATCAGAAGCACCTCCCAGAAGCTGCCCGGGCTGAAATTCATTGAAACCGACCACATTCCAAGGGTGTATTTTTGGGAAGCTGGTTTAGGGTTTACGGCAAACCCCAAGCTGCAATCCAAAAAGCAGCTCTCTAGTCCCCTAAACCCTAAACCCTAAACCCTAAACCCTAAAGCCTAAAACCCTAAACCCTAAAGCCTAAAACCCTAAACCCTAAAGCCTAAAACCCTAAACCCTAAAGCCTAAACCCTAAAGCCTAAACCCAAAGCCAGAGAAGGTCCCCGATCCGCGTCTCATGGTTGCTACAGTTTGGGTTTGCGGGTTCAGGCGTCGGGCTGTTGGAAGAAGCTTTGTTAGGGTTTGGGGTTTAGGGTTTAGGGGTTTAGGGTTTAGGGATTTAGGGTTTAGGGTTTAGGGTTTAGGGTTTAGGGTTTAGGGTTTAGGGTTTAGTTTCCTAAACCCTTAAACCCGTACATACAAACCCGAAACCCTGAACTTTTCAACACAAAACCCCGAACATTTGAATCCTGAGCCCTAGATGAACTTGTATCCCAATCGCGCACCCCCAGCAAGCCACGCACACTCTAAGCTCGATCCCTACCGGAGCCGAATTCAAGCAGTATGAAAGCCTCCTATGGAAGAGGGGGTTGAGGGTTTGGTCTGGAAGGGCTTAGGGTTCAAAGTTTAGGGTTCGGGGTTTTGGGTGCAGAGTGTAGGGTTTAGGGTTTTGTGTTTGGGTGAGCATTTCCGGGGATTCGAGATTCACGACGGCTGAAGGGCTTGGGATGGAGGCAGGGTTCATTAGAAGGACCTGGGGACTTAGCAAGCAAGATAAAGGTAGCGTTTCAAACAGCGCAGATCAAGCATCTTAACTCTGGCCGGCCAAGTCTTCTCCTCATGTCTCACCATTACAGTAGAAGCCAGAAAGTAGGAACATTGTTATCCTCATGCCTTTAAGGCAAAGTATAGGGGATCCCAGCACTATTCATCCTAAATCCATGTTCCAACTTTCTGGGGTTCACTGTAAGTCCTTCAAATTATCCTGTAGGTAGGGTTTTAAGTGCAACCTAACACCCCTTTGTCCATGCGGCACCAGCTCATTATCGGGTCTGCACGACCCCACTTACATTGTGGGGGGGAAACAGGGCACACGCACACTTGGTGTCACCCAGCAACATAGACCCACTGGATATCAAGCACAGTTTCGGGTCTAGGGGCTGGGGGGAACCTGAACCACCCCACGTTGACGAATCTGCTCTCAGGCCTGACGCATCCCATGGCTGAACTGAACAGGAAGTTGGACTAAGTCTTTGGGATGCTTTTCCATAGGGTTGCCTGTAACCCCACACCAGACCAAGAACCAAAACACTCCAAAACCGACGGGCGCAACCACGCTAGCCCCAAAGGCTTTTATCAGTCAATGCGACAGCCATGCGTCAATCCCCAACTGCAAACGAACATAAACTCTTCAGCACCTCATGCGCGCATTGGGAGTCACAGGCGGGGTGAACCAGGCCCCCGAACCCTGAGCCTTGAACCCAAAACCGTAGCTTAAGCTCTCAAAGTTCAAGGATTTTGAGAAGAAATCTTGGGGAGATGAGATCGAAGGTTCAGATTTGCAGGGAGGGTGTGGGCCTTCCCAGAGCCTCCAAAACCCCTTAATTAAGGAATATACCTTAAATCATATTATGGATCCTACTATACTTTAAGGTATATTCCTTAATTAAGGGGTTTTGGAGGCTCTGGGTTTCCTACACCCCATACACTACACCTCGAACCCCAAACCCAACTGCGGAGAGCCGCTGGCCGAGCGTCTCGACAGAACGGCGCTTCTCGGTATACGGGGACAGGGTTTAGGGTTTAGTTTTGTAGGGTTTAGGGTTTAGGGTTTTAGGGCTTAGGATTAAGGGGGGGGAAATGATGATCCACATTTCGAGGTTTGTTTTTCTAGGGAAACTCCACGGACCTGGGGTTTCTTGGGCTGGCCCCAACATCGGCCCCAAACCAATCGAAGCGAAGCAAAGAGCATGACAACCCCGAGGTGAACCCTAAACCCTAATTGAGTATAGTTGGGGTCGTTGGAGCGGGACTACAGGCTGACGCACAGTATAGGGCTTAGGGTTGGGACGGGAACCAGTCGGTGCAGCCATCGCAGTTAGCGACAAACTTGGTTGGTGAGACAGGAGCCCCTACAGAGCCCACACAGATTTCAAACTTAAAGCACTGACAGGTCAAGACTACTTGCGTGTGCCACTGGCCATAACTTGAGACGCGCCAGTCAAAGCAAGCCATAGTTTGGCAAAAGTTTCATCGTAGCTACAACTAAGGGTCTGAATACCGTGAACCTCACATCGTAGCCATAAAAACCACCCAGGATCCCGAAAACCCTAAGCAATGATGTAAAATGATCTACGTATGTGCATAAATATAAAAATATATATATATATATATATATATATACATACATATATATATATATATATACAAACGTATGTACGTATGTATTGTTGTATGCATGTATGCATGTGGGCATGTATGCATGTATCCATGTATGCATGTGTGAATGCGTGCATTTAAACTGTATACATGTATGTATGCATGTATGCGTATAATAGGTATTTTTCTATATGTATATATATGTCAGAAATATACGCATGTATATATATATATATATATAGTTGGACATACACATATGTGCATGCCACACCATGCTAGATTCTGCCGCATTATAAAAGAACATACTGTATTATATGACCTAACACTATATGATACCATGCTATATTATACTAGAGTATGTTGTGCGTGTGTATGTATGTGTAGTATATTCATGTAAAGGGAGCATGTGCATTACCGTTCCTTCCAACCACCCTAGTAGCCAAGCCCGGAGTGCCCGAATCTCCTCATGATCAGAGGGTGAGGAAAGCAATCACGAGGCCCAATGTGAACCTTGGCCGTTGCTTCAACACCCAGGGTTTCGGTTTGGGTTTAGGTTCCAGACCCTTGGGAGTAGATCCTTTGAGGGGGCTCGCTGTAGGCGTTTGAAGAGGTGTGGACATGACGCGGGATTTACATGATTGTCTGTTGCTCGAAGAAGGAGATCGAGAGCATTGCTGGTGAGAACACATGACGAGTTTGCGAGCACCGCCGGAAATCTGCAAACGTGCCCCTGAACCCGAAAACCCTAAACACATCCAACTCTAAAATGATCCATTAAATTCGCATGAAAGCCCTTATACAGCCCCTATAATCCATATGAAACCCTTTTAAACAAAAACTGATGAATAACAGACTGGCCTCAAGCTCTCTTTCTCGACGCTTCTGCTGGCACTCGCAGTCGGCATCACGTTCAAGATGTAGATGTCCCAGCTCTCGTCGGAAGTCCTAAATTAGGAATTAGGGTTTAGGGGTGTAGGGGTTTTGGGGTTTACGGGTTCAGGGGTTTAGGGAAGTTTAGGGTTTACTGAAATTGCCCAGGGTTTCCATGTTTCTTTAGGATTTCCGGCCTTTAGGAATTGAGGTTTGTGGCTTAGGAAATTGTAGGTGGTAGGGTTCAGGGTTATAGTATCACATTATCGCCATGGGACCATGACTTACTCATCTAACTGTCACGATTATACAACCTACCTCTGGTAGTTTTTTGCTGTAAGCCACCATGAACCCGCATGGAGGCCGCGACTCCAAAGAACGGAGCCGCGAAGCACCCCATGCCAAGATGCTCGAGCGCAGGTTTAAGCAAGCTGCTTTAAAGCTTCAGGGTAGAGAGCTTTCGAAGTCCATACGTGACAGGGCTTGAGCGGGTTTGTGGTTTCGGATCATGTGCATGACAACCTCAAAAATAAGCTCCAAGCACAAACCCTACCCTTTTCACCATAAGTACGAGTCAACACATTACATACAGTATGATACGATGCATTACTTACCCGGCATTGCAAACTTGTACCCCCGAGACCAGATTGCAAAACCCCACACGCCAGCAAGAGAATCCAAGATTTAGGGCTTAGGGTTTAGGAATCCCGTCGTTAACGAAGCCCAGTGATTCAAAAAATCGCCAGACGACTTCGTAAGGCCTCAAACCGCCTCACACACCGGTACCCTGAACGATCCCGAAAATGGCACATTGAGGATCCTAGCAGCTTAGCACTCCTTTCATAAAATCTTCAGAGGTGGGGAACCAGAAAGGCCCATCATATGGGAGCCTTACTGATTAGAATAGGGCTTCGGCTTCCTTTTCAATCTAACTATAATAAGGAACCCTGAGGAATAAATTTGGCAATTGTTTAAGCTTCTACATTAACTCGACACCCTCCATGCTGGCAACAAGCGTTTGAGCTATTGTCATACCTCCAAGTATAGGCCACGATACTTGTCTTAACAACCAGACTTGAGCTTTGGTGGCTTTGTAAGAAGAAACTGTATTTCAATGAACCGTATAAGGAATAACATGATGGCCAGATATTTGGACCCAGACGACCCCAAACCACAAAACCGCAAAACCCTATAGGCTGCATTGTGTGAGCATCGCCGACTTGACCCCAGAGCCACAACCCAAGCTCTCCACCCCAGTAAACGTTTTAAGGCTTGGGGTTTATGGTTTAGGGTTTAGGGTTTAGGGCACCTGAGTGCAGACCCCTGCTTGGTACACCTTCTACCGTTTGGCAGCGCCTTAAGGTCCAGATCCTTACCGAGACTATGGCCCTTTCTTGAGTTTGTTAAGGGGTTTAGGGTTTAGGGTTTAGGGTCTATGGCCCTTTCTTGAGTTTGTTAAGGGGTTTAGGGTTTAGGGTTTCGGGTCAAGGGGTCGGGGTGACATTACGTTAAATCACAACAGCTGATATGTTGACTTAGTCCCATGGTCTCCCTCGTGCTCTTCTAGCGATAAATGAAGGGAACCCTTACAACCTGTCTTAAGGCCTTATGGTTGGCCCCAACCTTATGGGACCCTTTTCCCTGAACCCCAGACAATTGATTTTGAAGAATCGCCACCGAAGTGCTGGACTTGGCAGTCTTTCGTGGCGCAAACGCAGTCGCCGAGATGGCTGGCATACATAAAATAGGTACCAGAACACTCCTGCAGTAAGGGTGTTAAGGGTACTACTAAAGTTTGAGTTACTGTCGAAAAGCTTTGAGAGGGTTTGAGAAGCTTTGAAATGAGAAGGTGGTATACGGCTTTCTACGATAGTGGGCGATGGGTTCCTCCCCAGAGGCTCCTCGTACTCCTGAAATTGGTATCCTTCGTGGGGGGGGAGAGAGTATGGCTCTCCGACTTCATGGTTTGAGGCTTCGAGGACATCAGCCCCTCCACCCGAAACTCGGAGCCCTCTTGGTGCTTAGACGTCTAGATGTAGAGTGGGTCATCTGGCCTCGCATCGCTTTAGAAAGACACACAGACACACAGCGAAGAAAAGCAGGGGGTTCTACAGGGATTGGGGGTGAAAGGTGTCGGGTGTAGGGATGTGTGCTTGGAGGAACATGGGACTTAGTAAGTAAGGTTACAAGTACTTCAACCCGGGGGCTACATGTCAAGATAACTACAGTTTATTATTTATATATTTGATTGCTGAGTCCCATGATCCTCACAGTAGGGTTTAGCGGACTTCTCAACCCGCCTGGAGGCTCGGGGAAGACAGAAACTCGGTCAGACGCACACTTCGGAACGCCCAAATTGGGATAAAGGCTTAGGTTCTCCGGGTTTAGAGTGTAGGGGTGTAGCGTTTAGGGAACCTAAGCCTTTTGATCTTTTACAGCAAAAAGTGAACTCCCGCAGCCCAAAGGACCAGTTATTCTCCCCGGCCGCTCAAGTTAAAGTTTGGGACTGGCCGGTTTCAGGTTTAGGGCTTCAGGGTTTAGGGTTTGGGGTTCAGGGTTTAGGGTTTAGGAAACCCTATAAGCTATCTCTGAAACCTATTCTGAAGGCATAAGCCCGCGTCCTCAAGGAGCCCAACAACATCCAACAACAAACGTCACTTCATCTGTCGGGAGCATCCCGCTCTAGAGATCTGATTACTTACTACGGTCCAGGGATACCTCCAGTACAGTATGCTCCAAAGCCCTATACTCGAATTACTGAGCTCCCTACAGCCTGAAACCCCATTGAAAACTCAAGCACACCCCTGTACAGACTTTAGGCAAACCTTCCCAGCAGCCCACTCTAACTCCATCCGACCGCGGGTCATTGCCGGTGCGCGCTGCGGCCAGATCACGACAGCTCTCGAGGGAGCCCGGCATGCTCCAGAGCGAAAAAGCTCGCAGGTTGATCTCAGTTGAGGGTTTAGGGTCGGCGCAAGGAGGCCCCATTGACATCATAAGATAAGGGTTTAGAGCTTGAGGTTTGCGTGGTCAGCAAGAGTACAGTTTTTGGTCCCTGGCACTGTTAGAAGTGAGGAATAAACCGTAGCACTAGTCCTAATATTGTTGCAATTCAGAAAATTCTTTTTGAGCCGTTCATTAAGGACTAAACGTTACGGCTGCATGTAGTAATATCCAAGGCGCCTATACCAAGCTACTACGTGTCTGCGGTTCAAATTCAATGGGTCCTGGGTGTTGGTGGGCTTTGAGGTTGTGTTTGGCAAGTTGCTGGGCTTTGCTGGCTTACGGATTCGGGCTCTGCGATCTGCTTTGGAAGCTACTGAAACGAAGAGGCACTCCAGAAGCAGGCTACGAGTGCGTTCGCCCTCCCTCTCTTAGAGCCTGACTACATACTGGGCTAAAGTATAACACCTAAACCCCCAAAACTCGAAACCCCTAAACCCAAAACCCTTAAACCCCAAGCCCTCAGGCGGGTTGTGGTGCTTCTCGTGCATGTATTTCAGCTTGCAGGATTCCGGTAAGGGTTCCTTCACAAGGCTTTAAAGACGGTTTAGGGTTTAGGGGCTTGGGGTTTGGGGTTTAGGGTTTAGGGTTCAGGGGGGTTTTTGCCCTTTGCACTTGGGTCCGTTGCGATTTCGGGCTCAGGGTTTAGAAACTAGGCTTGGGTCTGGGTTTCGAAGCGGCCTGCTCACCTGTGGGTAGGACATACAGAAAATCCCCACACAAGATGCTTACAACCGCAAGCACTGAACCAAAACCCCAAACCCTAAACCCTGAAACAGAAAGCCCGTCGGCCCTGAATCCTAAACCACTCCTCGCGGAGAAGCCCCGAGCTTCTCCCGTCCAAGCTGCATAGTCATCGCAGAGGGCCCCCATCTTCCAAAGATGAGGCGCAGTGGACTTGTAGATGGCCCAGTTAGACTGTTCCTAGGCTTTGAAGTAACCAAACGAAACAAAGGCTTAAACTTGTACTCCGTCATGGTTCCTTGAAGAAACAGGTCCCAAAGAAAAGCATACCTTACATCCTAAACCCTCAACCATTAACAAAAATTATACCCTAAACCCTAAACCCTGAAAAGCATGGTACACCAGAACCAGGATTCCGTCTTCTCGTTACAGTCGTCCCTGGCGCAGCCACAGTCCTGATCTTCCCGAGCTCCGGGTTTAGGGTTTAATGCCTGCACCCTAAACCCTAAACCGCCCTATCCTATGTATTTAAACCTTAATGTTATTCGTCGTTTTCCTGCGATTTCACCCAAATCGCCGTATTCGTCGTCAAAAATCGCCGCATTCGTCGTCAAACCCTCGAAATCGCCGTATTCGTCGTCAAAAAATCGCCGGATTGGTCGTCAAACCCTCGAGATCGCCACCTTCGTCGTCAGAAATCGCAGGATTTGTCGTCAAACCCTCGAAATCGCCACCTTCGTCGTCAGAAATCGCAGGATTCGTCGTCGAATGGCGCTGCTCATTCCCAATCTGTTCACGGCCTAGAAACTAGGGTTTGGGCTTTAGGGTATAGAGCCTAGGGTTCGGGCTTTAGGGTTTAGGGCCTAGGGTTTGGGCTTTAGGATATAGGGCTTAGGGTTTGGGCTTTAGGATTTAAAGGTTAGGGTTGGGGCTTCAGGGTTTAAGCCTTGGGGATTGGGCTTTAGGATTTGGGGCTTAGGCTTTAGGGCTTAGGGTTTGGGCTTTAGGGTTGAGTACCCAGGGTTTGGTGATTTAGGGTTTCGGGCTTGCTTTGGGGTTTAGGATGAGCTTTAAGGTTAAGAAACTTATTATTTTTCTCAATGCTATGGGATTCAGGGGTGGGTGGGTGTTATTTCATAATTGTGATTATAACTGTACCGTAAAACTTCACGGACCGGAGCTGCTGAACCCTGAACCCTAAACCCTAAACCATAAACCCTGAACCCTGAACCCTTAAACCGGGAATTTCTCGGATCCTCTACCCCGAAACTCAAAAACCCTTGACTACGGGTCTTGGAGTTTGACCGGCACATGGACTTACGGCTTTCGGCCTTGTTGAGTCGGTGTGTGGTAAATGCCATGATTCCTCTATGATTGTAGGGGAGATGAAATTATGGTCCTGAACAAGAGGCCAGGTAGACAACCCAAAAACCTCATTACAAACCTTCGTGGTCCCCTGAAAAAACTCTTAACACCGCAGCCCATCGCAAAAACATACGTAACCCAAGGGACCTACCCCTAGGAACCCCCAGCAAAACTCGAGGAACTCTTCTCAAAACCTAAACCCTAAACCCCTAAACCCGAAACTCCTATATAAGCCCTAAACAACCCTGAACCCTAAACCCTAAACCCTCCCTGCGGCTCAAGCTCCTCGTTGGTCGCATACTGGAAGAAACTGCCGGAGCAGCCTAAGAGTCGCAACAACGAGAGAGCAGGGCAGTTTGGGCTTTGGGGGCTGTTAGTTCTATGGTTTAGGGCTTTTTTGTTTGAACCCTTTAGGGTTTAGGGTTTTAGGGCAATTAAGGTTTTTGGGTGGGGTTTCGGGTTTAGGGCGAAAGTATCTTGCGACAAGCTGTGTCGAGTGCATCCTACTACGGCGATGAGCTGTGAAAGCCTGTCTACCGAAGGATTGGCTTATCCTTCCTTCTCTCCCGTTGCAAGGCGGCCGAACCACCCTGACCTATCTAAGGGTTTAAACCTAATGTAGGGGCATCAAGAATTAGACTAGGGTTTTGGGGCCCATTATACTATAACTATAATCAGGAACCCCCAAAATCATATAGGTACTTATTGAGGCTCCGACATTAAACTCATGCCGCAATGCGACCCAGCAGGGAAGGGCAGACCAAGACAGGTCTCCCCTACAACCAGCTTGGAGGGCTGGGTCCCTGAAAACTGCTCGGCGCCCTTGGGCACCTTTTTGGGTGGGCCATATTTCTTTCCGGCCGGTGGGTGCTCCGGTCTCCATGACCGTGGTGGGGAGACTGGCTGCTGTCCGCGTCGGCTTTGGGTGATCGATTGCATGCAGAGGTGGGTGGCCTCTGCCTTGAGTTCAGGGCTTAAGGTGTAATATAGGGGCCTTGAAAATTAGAATAGGGTTTGGGGGTATGTTATACTATAGTAATAATAAGGAAACCTCAGAATAGTATAGGTAATTATTTTGGCCCCTTTAGTAGGGGGGTTAGGCTCTTAGAACAGGATCCGAAACCATGTAGTTAAAGGTGGGCAGCACACGTGAAAAGCTCCTAATGTGTGTTCCTGTTTAGGCTTTAGGGTCTCGAATGTTCTAAAGCTAAGGATTCTGGGAAAGGAATATGCTTGAGCTCTGTATGGGTTTAGTTGGGTTCTTCATTGAAAGGTTCAAAAATTGAATCTCATGTTTGTACGCATCCCTATTGTCTTGCCAAAGTTCTCGGAGGCTGCCTGCTGAGGAACTCGACATTACGGTCATCATTGGAGTTGGATAGGAACTTGACTTCTAAGTTACTACAGTCATTATATATCAAGCAGCAGACATCTTGCCTTCTCTACATGGTAACTGCCTCTACATGCTGTCAGGACACAGCCTTATCAAAAGGAAAGACTGGGGCCCCGACAACATACCTCCACCCGTCCCTTGTGGTAACTGTTAAAGTTACTGTAGGTTGGATTGGATTAAAAGGCACGAAGCCCCTAGCCACCAATAGTGACGACAAGAGAACACAGCACTTGCAGCACGGGCTTCTATATAGGAGTTTACCTTATTTTGGGGTCCATAAGGAGCCTACTATTTAGGGTACTACATTAGGGTCCCCTATTTTCGGAAACTCCCATATCCACCTGGCCCACAGGGTCTCCTTCGGGCTGCACCCCGACCTACACCGAAAACCCCAAGCCCAAAACCCGATTAAAGACGAGCACATAAACAGTGAAAACGAAGACTAATACATAAAAGAGATGCATAAAAGCTTGCTACTCAACAAGCAGCTGACACCGAATACGCCTGATAGCTCTACTACAGCTCTTCAATCAATTATTGCGTATGGACCCTGAAGCCCTAAACCCCATGCCCTAAACCCCTTTCCATCTCAAACCTTACACTGACTGTAACTGCGAAGAAAAGAACGAAAAACACGTGAAACCCTTCAGAAAAACAACAGCTGCTACTTAAAAAGCTACAGAAAACCTTGTAAAACAACAATGCGCGCTGCAAAAAAGCTTTCTAATATGAAGACCTACAATTCTTTCTAAGAACGTCCGTGGAGCCTGCGGCGACCCCCGCGTCCACCACAAGCTGCCGACACTCTTCGAGGCTGCCACTCCCCGGCCAGAGCCCTCGCGAAATCGGGGTTTAGGGTTTAGGAAAAAAGCTAGCAGAAGTAGTGACGAGTGGTAGTAATTAGTGGTGGTAGTAGTAGTAGTAGTAGTAGTAGTAGTAGTCGTAGTCGTAGTAGTAGTAGTAGTAGTAGTAGGAATTCTAGCAGCACCAGTAGTAAGAATGGTAAGACCAGTGGTGGTAGTAGTAGTAGTAGTAGTAGTAGTAGTAGTAGTAGTAGGAGTAATAGTAGCAGTAGCAGTAGCAGTAGTAGCAGTAGCAGCAGCAGCAGCAGCAGTAGTAGTAGCAGTAATAAGAAAATCCCAACCCGCAAGCCTAAACTCTAAACGCTTAGCACTCTCTTCCATCCCAACACGACGAGTGAATCGAATAGGCCAAGTCGCCGGCGACCCGTAAGTTCAAATACCTCGGTTCTTGTTCCAGGCTCTGTTGGGATGTATACAAATTCTGAGGCCTCATAGTAAAGAATATTATGGTACCTCGAACTGGACACCTGAACAAGAACCCAGGTACGAGGAGCAGTGGTGGCCATCTTGCACCAATGAATAGACAGGAGATGGTATCGGCACCAGAGGAGTCGCAGTTGCACCTTTCTCTACCTGACATGCTGAGTACACTCCCGAGAACCCTACAGTCTATGGACTTCAGGTTTTGGACTAAGGATTTGTGGTGGTAATTTGACAAGGCTTCTGCTTTTGGGGCTTGGGGCTGAGGGCTGTGAAGGGAACGGAAGTGACAGGTGACCTTACAATTGTCCGGACGACTCTGAATGTGCTTTCTCCGTTCGGGAGTAGTGCTGTGGCTCTCAAAAAGCACATTGGTGAAACGGAATACTCAAACATTCATGATCTTCCTCAGCAGGGCATGGAGCTATGACACCGGATCCCTGATTTACCGGACTCGCGAGCAGGACATCAAAACGGAAAAAAAAAATGTTCAAGGTTCAGGCTCTCCTTCTTCATTTTGGCTTGTCTCTGTCCCTGGGGCAAACATTACGACGGGAAACACAAAGCAGCAAAAGGATCGGCCCAGCTACCACATAGATGGCCCAGAACCAATTGTCAGTTTGATCGTCGCAGGTATCTGTGGCACAGCCACAGTCTCCATTGGTCGCCCTGTAGTGGAAGTACTCGGACTTGCAGCCATACTCCTGGCCTGCGAGCTAAACTTGCTCGAAAGTGCTTACGACCTGCTGCCACTGCTGTTCGCAGTGTATGCCTTACCAGCCTTGCTGTCATCCTGATAACTGGGCGGTCTGTAAGTATACATATACATGTACACAAACATATACCTATACATATACACATATACATACATACTTACATATATAGATATATACAGATATACATATATACAAATATACATATATACATATATACATATATACATATACACATATATACATATATACAGATATACAGATATACATATATACATATATACATATATGCATATATACATATATACATATATACATATATACATATATACATATATACATATATACATATATACATGTATACATATACACATATATGCATATATGCATATACACATATATACATATACACATATATATATATATATGTATATATATATACATATATATATATACATATAGATATACATATATAAAATACATATGTACATATATACATATACAAACACACCTACATCTACATCTACATCTATATCCGCATCTACATCTACATCTACATCTACATCTACATCTACATCGACATCTACATCTACACACACACACACAGGTACTACACTGCGCACTCGTGTAGACACACATGCACACATACACACACAGAGACACCTACATTCATGTGTATATGAATTTTACAGCCAATCACTGCTACAAAACACGGTGAGACTTGAAGCCACCCCCGCTGCTATATGACGTCAGGTACCACTACTGCTTCTAACAACTGTACTATGACTGCCATGCTTACTAGCCGGTCACTGTCACTTTTCTCGTCCTTTTACAATATTAATAACCCACATTCACACTCTTTCATGCTTTGACTGCACCACCTTTTTATGGAACACTGTAAAAACCCACGTAAATCCTTAGAAAGCCCCTTCTAAGACCACAAAACCTCCAAACCCTGGATCATCCTCGGCTGGCCACCAGCAGCATGCATGCCTGCAAGGCCAAGCAAGCCGCTTCAAGGTCTAGGGCTAAGGTTTCGGGTTTGGGGCGTAGGGCTCAGGGACAAACGCCCCAAAAAGCAAGCATCAGTCGAACTGCCCTGGTGTCAGGATTCAGGATTCCGGGTCCAGGGATTTGCACTCCCGTTCCGCCCCAGACACAGTCGCCGCACGATGGACACCAGAATGGGTTCCCTTTGCCTCTTTCCTAAGTCAAGGCTACTGCTTGGGGTCCAAGTGCAGGGCTCCTCCTTCTTTTTTTTACTGATTCGGGTTTACGGCTCACTCAGGGTGCAGAGCCACGGTTTAGGGTTTAGGGTTTAGGGGTTTAGGGTTTAGGGTTTAGGGGTCTAGGGTTTAGGGTTTAGGGTTTAGGGTTTAGGGGAGCAAGCAAATATACACCGAATCCTGAAGGCCACGAGTGTTGAAACCCACAACCACCAAGTCGTGTACACAGAAAACCGAAGCCCTAAACCCTAAACCCTAAAAAGGCCTAAACCCCCTAGTCCCCACAGCCTTGGTGCTTTGAACCCGCGTTCAGGGTCGAAGGCTTAGGGTTTAGGGTTCAGGGCCTTTGTTAAAGAAATCCTTCCAAGACCACATGCCTTTAAGGTCCCGCGCGTCCAGCGGTCAGCATCCGCGCGCAAGTTCACGTGGTTTGAGCAATGCTTGCCTTCCTCGACCAAGGGCTTCGACTGGGGGGCTTTACACAAAGAAGGGTTTGGGGTTTAGGGTTTGGGATTTCGGGTTTAGGGTTTCTTCTTGCGCAGCGGCTGGTGATCCATGCTAGGATGGCGCCACCTCACGCCTTGGTTTGTAGGCTGCGGCGTATTACGCGTCAAGCGACCTTCCTTGCATGTGTCATAGAACTCGGTGAAACCGGAAGCTCTCTAAAACCCGCCCGCTGTGATGATATCACTGGCAAACACCAGAACCATCTCCTGTTAGGGTTGAGGGCTTACACCCTCAATTCCCACACCGAGCACACAGGCAGAGCGCTTCCGCACAAAGAAAGTCAGGGGGGCGAGGGCGGCCAAGCGGGGGTCAAGGGGCAAGGGGGCCAGAGCGGGGCCAGGGCGGGAGAGCCAGCAAGGGCTGTGCCTGGAAGCGGCCAGCTTGAGGACACTGCTGGAAGGCCCGTTTTGGGGGGTGGCAAACCCCTCAAACCCCGCATAGGGCTTTTCTGGCCTTGGGTTTGGGGTGTTCCCATCCCCTTCAGGGTTGAACGTTTAGTTTGGGGTTTAGTGTGGCGTAGGCCTTGGGGCTCAGGGCTTAGGATTTAGGGCTTCGGGCTTCGGGTTTAGGGTTGGTTTAGGGCTCAGAGTTCCCAACTCTGGGACCAGCCAGGGCACCCATTGTAGTAAGGTTCAAGGGAGTTGGAACCTGATGACGAGCTTAGAGGACCATGGGACTGGGCTCATAAATGAAGTAAACTGGAGCTATCATTACTTAGTTACTTTTTGCTCCACGCAAACAACTTATTCCCGTGCTTACTGATTCGCATGAACCTCTAAGTAGACCCTAAACCCTAAACCCTTATAGATCCCTTACAGGGACCCTTGAAAAAACCCTTGCTAGGTCCCAGGATCCTCCAAGTAACCGCCTGAAACTCGGAAGCCCTGAGTCGAAGATCCTAAAGCCGCAAGGCTTAGGGTTTAGGGTTTAGGGTTTAGGGTTTAGGGTTTAGGGTTTAGGGTTTAGGGTCTAGACGGCCCCAGCTGTGGGTAGTTCCCGAAATTAGGGTTTAGGGTTTATAGGGCTTAAGTTAGGACCATATAACCATATAGTATGGCAGCGTCATTTGGATAACTACCTATATTACTCAAGCTCCTAAGCCATGAACCCCAACCTGATAGGAGCCACGAACCCGAATGCAGTTGCGCGCCCGATATTTGCTTCCCCCACGCGACCTGTGGAGTTCCGCTTTAGGCTTGCCTGATTCGAACGCCGTGGGGACGCGCGTCCTTTGGAATTCCACCTTATAGCGCGAAATCAGACCCACGGACGCTTGCGAACCTGTAGAGCTCCCCCTTAGCCTGCCTGATTCGAACACCGTGGAGTTCCCCTTGAGCTTGCCTGATTCGGACGTCGTGGGTTGCGAACCTGTGGAGTTCCGCCTTAGCTTGCCTGATTCGAACACAGTGGAGTTCCCCCTTATAGCTTGCCCGACTCGAACGCCCTGGGGACGCACGTGCTTTGGAGTTCCCCCTTAACAGCACGAAATCAGACACACGCGAACCCTCGCGAACGCTTGCGAACGCTTGCGAACGCTTGCGGGCGCTTGCGGGGCGCAGGCGAACGCTGCGCACGCATTTCGCGTCAACTCCTAACCCCCAGACCCCAACCTTCAAACGAGAACCCTTCTGGTGCGCATTCGGGAAAAACCAAGCGCGCTGCAGCTGAAGCCGAGGAGCCTGCATCTTGCGGTGTCCCACAGATTCCTGGGCTCTTGTTTAGGAATTTGGTTGAAGTTACCAGGATAGATAAGGGTTCCTTGAAGGGCTCTATAAGGGTTTAAGGGATAAGGAATGTAATTGAAGTTGCCATCATTGGGATCTATAGTAAACAATATGGTTTCCTCATTAGGGTAACTCAAACTAACTTCCTTTACAAGAACACCGCCCCTAAACAAAAGCCCTGAAGCCTATACTTATGATTACTTATAACCCAACTTAGGGCACTTATAACCTTAACAAGTAGAACCCTTAAAGGAACCCCAAAATTATGGTAACTTAACCTAACTTCCTTAAGAAGAGCCCAGATTCAGATGCCTGCGACACGAGATATACGTCCCAGGATGAGTCGGTTGGCCTCTTCGTGCAGTCGTCCCGGGCACAGTGGCAGCCGCCACCGGGTTGGTCCCGAAACCTGATATCGCTAGGTTTGGAATTTGGGGTTTAGGGTTTAGCAAGTGCTACATGGGCTTTAGACTTAGAACCAGCTTTTGGGGTACATTCTAGTAGACGAGGTATAATAAGGAACCCTAAAGACTGATATTATTCAATTCAAGCTTCTATAGAAAACCTGAAACCGTATTTAGTATTGACGGTCCAAGAATGGTTTAAGACGTGTTGTTTAACTGAGGGCTTTGGGGGTCTCGGAGCTCTCAGGGAACTCCAAGCAGTATCCGCACACCTCCGAACTTCTCGCCTTCTTCTCTCTACTCTTACGATTCACATGATCCTCAAGGCCCTGGTCCTCGCACAGGAAACTCCGAACCCAAAACCCCTAAGCCCCTAAAACCCTAAAACCCTAAACCTTCCTAAGCTTCAGGGGTTTACAGCTGTTGAGGCTGGGGACTTTGTGGATTCGCTTGTGTAAGGGCTGTACGGGCGTCGGAGAGGTTCACACGTTCGGGCCAGATTGAGGATTGCCCAACCTTTGCAGAGTAGCTGGAAGTACCCGCTTGAAGCACAGAGTCCATCTGTGATGCCAGGGCCGGCGACGGCGCGCGCACACTCTTCCAGTGTTCCTGCCCAAGGGAAGCTACAACCCCTAGTATCGCGGCCTGAACCTTTAGAAAGGGTTTTGAGAGATCTATATGTACATATATATATATATACATATGTATATATATATATATATACATATACATATATATATATATATATATGTACGTACGTATATATATATATATATATATATATATACATATATATATGTGTGTGTGTGTGTGCATTTTATACCTGGTTATGCTATAAAGATATATACAGATATATGTATGCAGACAGAGAGAGACATATGTATATATGTACATATATACGCATATATGTATACGTGTAGACATATATGTGCATATACAGACATAAAGACAAACATATCTATGTATATGTACATAGGTGTATACATATACATTTACATATACATATACATATACATATACATGTACATATACATTTGCATATACATGTACATCTGTATATATACATATATATGTATGTTTGTATATACACATATACATATACATACATATAGACATATGTATATATACATACAGACGCACACATACAGAACTCGCTTGTTCTCGCTTTTGGGGCGTTGAGATCCGGTGAGCGGATGCAGCCCTTGTACTGCATCTAAGTAAGGAAAAAGTGAAAGAGTGACTGCCCGAATTCTCCCCTGCCAAAGAGGATATCCCAGTCCTGTTGCGGATGGCATCTGACACACACATATACATGCATATATGTATATACACATACGTAAACATGTACATATACCAGCACCTCTATATATATATATACATACATATATATACATATATATACGCATACATAGACATATACATACACATCTACATATACATATACGGTTATACAATCAATATGTATATATATAAAGAGAGAGAGAGCATGTATATGTATATGTCGTTGTCGAATTCCATACCGTAGGGACTACAATAAGGGATGGTGCCATTTGACATCTGGGGTTTCCCCAGGTGACAGGCAGGCCCCATAGCCATCCCCAAGAAATCCAAAACCTCTTAAGTAAGCAAGTATGCAAGGATCCTTGACATGATGCAAAGATAGTTGCTGGGTCAACAGTGATAGGCAGAAGACCGGTAGTAATAGCAAAATTTCGAAAGGAGTTGCTAAACCCAAAACAAGTGCCAGAAATATTCTGAGTCCCGAAATACCTGAGCCTCAAACTCTCAACGTGTGCACTTTCCGAAAACCCAAAAACCCCAAGACTACAGTTTAGTCGTTGAGGCTGGTTGTCGTCTGACAAGGCAAGCCGCATGCACGGTTCAAGACTACACCTATGGATCCTTTTTCCGGAATCCTTATAGATCCCTTAAAAGGACCCGCAAAACACAATGCAAAACGTAAATAGCCTTGCAGCAGCGAGATGCCGGAAGCTCGCAGATCCCTTGAATTCCTCGGATTTAAAGTTCAAAAGGGCTTAGGGTTTCGGGTTTGGGGTTTAGGGTTTAGGGTTCAGGGTTTAGGGTTTAGGGTTTAGGGTGATATTTTTTTCAAGCCTAATACTTGGGATTTAGGGTGTAGGGGGCTTAAGGTGCAGGGTTGGAGCTGCGCGCGCCGGGTTAAGGGTGCTGCTGAGGCACATCCCACAGCCCTCAACCCTAAACCCCAAACCCCTAAACCCCTTAACCCCTAAACCCCTAAAACCCTAAACCCTAAACCGAAACTAGAACCATAGCCCCCAAACTAGAACCATAGCCTCAGACATGTGCTTTACAGTAGACATTAAATGGCTTGGGCTTGATCAGGGTGAAGGGATTGATTGGGTACTTGGGGATTACACCTCTGCAGTTTTCCAAAATGCTGCCTAATCTAAATCTATCATAAATTCCTAGGATCCCAGTATACAAAACAGGGTTTTGGGCTCCTTTAAAGCGATCTGTAAGGGTACTATAAGGGATCTATAAGGGTTTAGGGTTTGTGGTTCCCAAACCCTAAACCCTAAAACCATAAACCCCCTCAAACCCTGAACCCTAAACCCCAAAACCCTATAAACCCAAAAAAACCTATAAACCCTATAAACCCCACAAACCAGGACTGAACAGTTGGGCCCTCCTCATCGTCAGCGCTTTCTCTGCTCAGACCATTCCTCGACCCTCAACCTTGCACCCCTAAACCCCAGGAAAAAAGGAACTCATCGTTGAATAGGTTTCCACAGGTTTTGCAAGGTTTCTTAAGTTATAAGGGGCTTAGTAGGATGTTTTAGGCTATATTCCGTATTGAAGAGACCAGGAAAATGGGCCTCTCTGAGCATGGTGCAGAAGCTAAAGGGTCTAGAAGGGCTCGTTTGACGGATATACGTGGAAGCATACTATAGGCGTTTAGGGTTTCCGGCGATCTAAAGATCTCTTAGTTCAGGGTCCACAACAACTCCAAGAACAGCTCTGGCTGTTGAAGCTTCGGTTTGGAACATTGGGCCCGCATATGCAGGCGTAGGGTTTTGGGATTGGAGTTTAGTGTTTCTTTTAGTGCAATAGCCCCTTTTCAGGGTTCAGGCTTGGTGGTTTAGGTTTTACGTGGCCTCGGACTTATGCTAGGTATGATCATGTTTGACCGTTTTGGGTTTCCAGGTGTGCGGCCGTGGGATGAAGGTTCGGCAACAGCCACTCGGCCTGCACCTCAAAAGATCTCAACTCCGCACTGACACACTCAAGTCGAGAGGCTCACAGACACGGGCTCGTTGAACGAACGCGAAATCCACGGACCCAGACCTGTGTTTGGAGGAGCTTTTGAAGCTTCACTGCACTATGAAAATGACTATTATTAAGATTAGTATTATTGCCTTGAATAGTATTATTGCTATTATCAGTACTACTCTTATTGGTACTACTATTCTTACTATTATGGTAAAGGTTTAAGAGTTAAAGCTCCGGTTTGGAGCCGAACGTCTTTCACTTCATCCCATGACCGACACGAAGCAAGCTTTGAGCCGACTAGGACGCAACGCCGGAAGAGCTAGTGGATGCCAGATTCTTCATGAAAGTCTTCCTCGGGACATGTATAGTGCAGCCTGATCAGTTCAGGCAGGCTCTGGGCTCTGCAGCTTTGGATTTACTAAAAACTGATGTGGAACAACATGTATGCGAATGTATTTTTCTTCCAAATGAAAGAACCAACTGGGTCGTCATGCGGCAAATCTCCCATAAAGTCTGATAACGGAGGTCGCTTCCGAATTAAATCACACCGCAAACCTTCCGAACCGGCCGAATCACCCCAAGCATTTCTTGCTAAGACACGAGCCCCCTCGTTTCAACACAGAAGCCACGACAGTCGTGCCAACACTGTGCTTGTAAACACATGCGAACTTCTGAAGAAGCATGACCCTGATGTAGACCCTAGCGAAGCACCGTCCCGATGCTTGTCAACTGTCCGAAAGAAGAACCCAACAGTCCTGCAATACCCAACGCTTTCATTGAAGCAAGAATGGCTTCGGGTGCGATTTCTAGCAGAAACATGCAACTGGCATGATTGATTGCAGGTGAAAACGCTCTTTATCAGCTTGGTCGGAGAGTGTAGGATAGGTGCATTTCAACAGATGAAAACCGAGCTTTAGCCTTAGCAATCTAAAGAAAACTGTGGTGGTGGCACTCACATTCCTGTCCAGAGCACACAAACTTTATTCAACCAGAGAGCACCTCTCGCGAGGTAGTACCACAAGCCTGCATAAAACCGACTTGAGCTCCGATTTTATCTTGCCACAGATTTAGGCGTGCACAACAGAAGATAGCGAAGGCCCCAAGTTCGTAATTCTTTGCGGTGCTTTCGGCTACTATAGCGTACAAATCTTCAACGTGCGCAACAGACTTGGACGACGGCGAGGAGAGCCACCAAAACACACCCACAAACAGATGAAAAAGATAGACTTAAACTTCACTTGAATTGCGGCTGCAAAGGCACGTTCATCAATTCTCGAAACTCGCAGATGTAAGCCTCTAAACCCAATCGCGGAACCTCATCTCTATGATGCTGCAACACTAAACCCCAAACCCTAGACCCTGAACCCTAGATAGAACCCGGAACAAGGGGCGGAGGCAGCAGAGGGCCGTCAAGCCGTCTCGCATTCCAGGAACTCCATGGTGCCCACAGCAAGGACAACAAGGACAGCATCGCAAGAAAAGCTGACGTGAGTAATAACAATAGTTGTAATGCTAGTGGCAGTCGTAGTAGTCGTCATCATCGTAGTAGTAGTTGTTGTTGCTGTTGCTGCTGTTGCTGCTGTTGTTGCTGTTGGTGTCGTTGTTACGAGTTGTTGTTGTCGTCGTTGCAGTAGCAGTCGTAGCAGCTGTAGTCACAACAATAAGAAGAATGAGAAGAAGAAGAATAGCAACGATGATATGGTGCTGGCTGCAGGCTTGTGGGATGACCGTTGATGTTCTGGCATGGAAGTTAAAAGAGTTTGCAGCTTGCTGCAGGAAAGCCATTACGGCGCTCGTAATTAAATAGGCTTGGGGGCCTTAAGAATAGGCTTCCTTCAAAGGGGTCTAAAAAGGTTCGTTTAAGGGTTCTATAAGAGATCTATATAGGGGTTCTTAGAAGGGAACGGAGGAATGGGTTAGGGGGACTATTATTGCGGATTATATAGGGACTACTGTAGGGATCTATTTCCCCATTCCCTGCTAAGCGCTAGGGACTCCTATGCTTACCATGACGAACTCCTGGTTCAATTCGAGCCGTCAACAGACGGAGCATCCACAGCAATCAGTCATTGCCACAACAAGCCGGGTTTACGTCCTTTGAGAAGATGAAACTGATATGTGCTGCTGCCTCCTCTAAATTCGGGTGCCCTGTCAGGTTCCCACACATGGTACGGCACCCTTGTAAAAATGACCCTGGTTTAGAAACTACTACCCACATGAGGACGATCAGGAGCGGAGTCGTTTGTTTGCAGGGCAACATAGCTCTTCACATGGTCGAGTCCAGAACACAAAGATGCATGGCTCTTGTT